CTATCTATCTATCTATCTATCTATCTATCTATCTATCTATCTATCTATCTATCTATCTATCTATCTATCTATCTATCTATCTATCTATCTATCTATCTATCTATCTATCTAGCTAGCTATCTATCTAGCTAGCTATCTATCTATCTATCTATCTAGCTATCTATCTAGCTATCTATCTATCTATCTATCTATCTATCTATCTATCTATCTATCTATCTATATATCTATCTATCTATCTATCTATCTATCTATCTATCTATCTATCTATCTAACTATCTATCGTGTCTCTCTGTCTATGAAACAAAAGTATGAAACAGAAGAATGACACGGAAGTATGAAACAGATGCAGAAAAGAGAAGTATGAAACAAAAGTATAATAGAAAAGTATGAAACGGAATTATGAAACGCAAGTATGAAACAGACTTATGAAACATTTTAAATTAGAGAAGCAAGCTAAAATGTTTACATTTTTTAAAAGTTTCCTTTTAATCTCTAATGCAAATTGTGTGATTACTTTAGACAATACCGCACACCATTCGGATGATTAGATAATGACTACTTAAACCTGATTTCCCTTTCTATTAACTGCAACCAGCTATGAAGTGTATCCCCGTGTTGTCCCTCTTTGTTACCTGTTGAGGGCTTCTGTGTCGAAACGTTCGTTGTGTTGTTTTGGGATCGTTCAGATTTTCTCCACAACTCTGTGCGTTATATTTCATGCAAAATTAGTGAGTAGCAACCAAATTTTAGATGCGTGCTCCAAATTGAATACTGAAAGCCATGGAAAAGAAAAGTGATTTCTTCTATTTAAATTGATTTTTTTTTTTTTTGCCATAAATAAAGTTTCCATATCTCCTAGGCTCTATACTGTTCAAAAGCCGAACTCACAGGGATCAGTGGTGACAGCAAAGGAAGTGGATCCAGGGATTTATTCTCTGTCACCAACGATGAGGGCTGGTGCTTCCGTGTTAGAATATTTAATGCTTACATTTGTTGGTTGTCTAAGTTATTCCTTTTTGATTTTTTTTTTTAAAAATGCATTCATTTTTTAAAAAAAATATGTTACTATAACTTTGTACGTTGTTTGTGATACTAATTTAATCCTAAATAAAACAATTCTTATTAATGTTATGATTATTTTAAAGTTAAAAAGTATTTTTAAAGGTATTAAGGTTTTTTGTATGCCGTAATTTAAAAAAAAACAACTACTTGTCTGTTGGTTGTGCAAAGAATTTAACTGTGAGTTTATCCTGTACAGTAAAGTTGTTTGGATCTTTGGTAAAGGTAAATCGCTGAAATAACAACTGAATGCAGTCAAACATTTACACGCCAAACTTTATTTTAATGTTCTTTTTTTAAAAAAAAGATATGTTAGTATTTGTATTTACCATGATGTCTGTGTGTATGGTGTAATAGAATTTAGCTTTATGACATTAAAAATAATTGGGAAAAAAATATTGATTCTGTCTGCTAATCTTAAGTTGAAATTGTAAAAAAAATTAAATAAAAAAAAGTATGTAACTGTATAACATCGCAAAAGGGAAGTAAAAACCAACTCTAAAACAATAAAATTAAAACATGTGAAGACACATGTATTTTAGCCATCAGTTATTACTGGCAAAACTATATTACTGCATTTTTAGCAAACTTATATGTAAAGTTTTGTATATTCGCGATTTTTTTTTCCGGCAAAAATTTTAACAGTAGCCAACTTTTGACACATTTTAGCGCTATTTGAACGTGCGCCCCTCCGCAATAACAGTTATAAACATTTTACAAAGGTTTCAATATTTTTTAAAAAGAATGCAGAGTCTAATCAGAATGTTTCTGCCAGGAAGTGAATAATCTCCAATTTAATCTGGGACATTGCATGTTTTAATGGCCTCACTAATACACACATCACTGTTTTCTATTTCAATATCAATTTTTGTTCAAATTGCAAAGTCATGCTAATAAATCCCAATGATTTTCAGATAAATATCCATTGGCCTTAGGACATAAATTTTTTTCTTATTTTATTTTTAAAGAATGTTTCATCATTTAAAAAAAAAAAATTATATTTGTATGTGAAAGGCCTTGAGCATTTTTTTTATTCCAACTCGAAATTATTTCGAATCGCAGCCTCTAATTGCTCATTAATAATGAATGTTTGAATTGACTTATTTAAAAAAACCTAACACCTTGATCAACGTGAGAAGGCGCCAATCTCATGCAATGTGTCCCCCGGCTTGACGTTTGCGTAGTTGTCAACATTGATACCTAACTACCGCAAGAACGTATCGAGACCACATAAGACCATATTAAGACAGTATCAAGACAATATCAAAACCATAGCAAGACCATAATAAGACCAACTCAAGACCATATCCATAGCCCACTCCATCGTCACATTGTGACGGACGGATGCCAGTGAAAAAAAAAAAAAGAAATTAAATAGAAACATTTAAAAAACAAAATGGTTTGGGGGGGGGGGG